TGTTCTTTGCTGCTGTGGTTCGTGCTTGCTTTGGTTTGGGTCTTAGGGTATTACCCTGCTATATTGTGATGTGTGGGTGCTGTGGCCAGTATCGTGAAGTCGATGCTACTTGGTAAGATGTGTCTCCTATTCTTAGTGGGCCCCGGAAGCGACAGGGCCGTTTTTTTACCGGTTCCGTTTTGCAATTTATTTTCCTGTTCCGATGCCGTTTTCTTACCGGTTTCGTCGCCGTTTTTGTTACTGGTTCCGGCCCCAGCGCTCCAATCCTGGAGCCGTTTTTTTTTGTTGTTCCGTTTCAGGTCGCCGTTTTTTGCCGTTTCCATTTTCAAAGGACACTTTTTCGGAAACGGTGAAAAAACGGCCCTGCCGTTTCCGGGGCCCTCTAAGCTCCTATTTGCTGCTAGTATTGTAGTTGTGCTGCGTGGGTAGGAACCGTTTGTGCTGGATGGGCGTATCCACGGTGCCAGGCAGGTTGCCAGGATGGTCCTTTGCCTTGAGTTGTTGTTTCTGTTGTTGTTTTCTATTGTCTTTGCCTGTGGCCTGAGGAGCTTGTGTGTGGCTGTGCATTGTGTCGGCTGGCTGTTGCAGTGGCTGCTGTGCATTGTGATGTTGGTTGAATAGGAGCTGTGCTGATTGGAGCTGCTGGTAGGTTGTGGTCGAGTAGGGTTCGCGCTGAAGGTGCCCATAGTAGTGTGCGTGCCGCTGCGCGTTTTTTCTCTCCCTGCGGTGCCAGGCAGGGTTGAAAGAAGTCAACAGAGTCGTGCTTGCAAGATGCTGCAGCCACTTGGCCAACATGGCCGCGTAAATGATGCTAGTTGTGTGTGCGTGCGAGGTAGCCGAAGTGGCGCGTGCTGCTGTCCATGGTAGTAGTACAGGGTGGTGCAGCTTAGCGCGGGAATGAGACAAATAAACAAACATGTAAGAGGTGTAAAGGATAAGAGGCTGTACGAAGATGATGGAGGAATGTATAAGGAACGTACTCGGATTTGGAAAGATCGGTTTCTACGATCGTGGCTGGCCCCTTAGGGCTTAGGGCTGGCGCACTGCCACGGGCGTCTGGGCCCGAGGCTTCCTGCTCCTCCTCCTCCTCCTCCTCCTCCCTCCTCCCTGGTCCTCCTCCTCCTCCTCCTCCTCCTCCTCCTCCTCCTCCTCACTCCTCCTCCTCTTCTGTGGGCACTCCTCCTCCTCCTCCTCCTCCTCCTCCTCCTCCTCCTCCTCCTCCCTGGTCCTGGGACCCAGGCCGCGCGAGGCACGGCCCGGCCACCCGGCGCCCGTGCCTGGCCCAGGCCTGCCCAAGGGGGTCGCGGCTGGCCCGGCTGGTCGCGTCCGCGCTGGAGGGGAGGAGCTCCTCAACGAACCCCCTTGCCCATACTCTGGGTTTCTGAATAAGCGTGGGGGGTACACCCCAGACGGGGGTCAGCCTCGCCTCGTCGTCGCTCCGCGACGGGGGTCGGAGCGCCGTCGGCGCGCGGTGGCTGCCTGCAACGGGGGTCGATGTGGGGCTGTCGGCGGGGATGACCCCCCCCCGACGCTGACTAAGAAACTCGGAAGTAAGGCTTGCAGGTTGGGGTAGGCGGTGGATCAGCAAACAAGCAAACGTTTGTCTGTTGTTCAGCTTACAGCACATCGGCTCAGCGGTGAGGGCGGCCGCAGACCCAGGTGAGAATGCCCCCTCTCTCAGGGCTGGAAAAAACACACAATACATTTGCGTCTTGATTTGCACTGTCGTCACACATCGGGAGGAGCTCCCCAACGAAACCCCTTAACCCATTCGTTCAGCCTGTCCCTCTACCCTCGCCCATCGCTGGCCAGACGGCATATGCACCCTGGGTGCCCGCGCGGTCCAAGGAGGCGACGGCAAGGAGGGACGTCCGAACCCAGCTCAACGTGATCACCCCGTCGAGGCATGAAGACCCCGAGGGGGTCGCGGCAGGCCCAGCTGTCGGGCCGCGCGGCAGGGGAGAACCTCTCAGGCGCCTCTTGGGGCCGCCTGGGGACATCTTGGGCCGGAGGCTCGGATTTTCGGTTCGTGCTCCCTCTCTTGGGCCCCTCTTGGGGCCTTTTGGGTCGTCTTGGGCCGTCTTGGGGCGCTCTTCGGCCGTCTTGGGGCCCTCTTGGAGGCCTCTTGGGTACAGGCCCCCTCGAGGCATGAAACAATCACGGCGTGCATTTTGTCGCTGTTTTCGGCCTCTGACGAGGCAGCCTCTTCATTTCCCTCCTCCGACCCCCTCGGGTCATGACAAACATCACGACGGGAGGTTTCTCTCATTTTCGGCCCCTGGGGGCCCTTACCAGGCCTCGGGACCGTCAAAGAACGGCGCAGGATGAAAAGCCAGTCCTGGGCAGCGGGTCGAGCTCTCTGGGGGTCGACATTATTGAAAATCATCACGCCGGGGGTCTGGGAAGGAAGGAGGGCTTCAAGGCGTCGCTGGACTCAGCGGCGAGCGCCTGCTCCGTCCGCGTCGGCGCGCTGTTCTCGCGCGGGGGGTCTCTCTGGCCTGTGGCGTGGCAAGTGCTTGCAGAACGCAGTGGCTGACATTCTCGGGTGCGACGCAACGCGCGATTGCAACTCAACAGGGCTCTGGGGGAGGGGGGTCCTGTGGGGCTAGGGGCAGAAAGCGGAGGAAGACGGGGAGGGGGGGAGGGAGACGTCGTCCTCAAGCTTGTCCTTTTCGCTCCACCGTTCCCTTCCCGTTTTTTTCGCATCCTCCCGCTTCTCCTCTTCCACTCCTTTCCTCATCTTCCTCCTCCTTTCCTTCTCCTCCTCCCGCTTCTGATCGTCCACCGCCGCCGCCGCCGCCTCCTCCTCCTCCTCCTCCTCGTCCTGGTCATTATCATAACGTTCTCTTTTTCCTCCCTATTTTCGGTGCTCTTTCTCCTCAGCCTCGTCCTTCTCACATTGTACTAGTCCTCGAAGCCCCCGTCCTCGGGGTCCTCGTCGTCGTTCTCGTCGTTGTCATCCTCATCCGTATCGTAATCGGTGTCGTCCTCGCTTACTTTGCCGTCCTCCCTGTCATCGTCCAGTCCTGGCCCTCGTAGTCCTTTTCGTCCTCGTCGTCCCCTCTCACCCTCCTCCTCCTCCTCCTCCTCCTCCTCCTCCTCCTCCTCCTCCTCCTCCTCTCCCTCCTCCCCTTAGTAGTCTTTATCCTGGCTCTCCTCCTGTTTCGTCACCAAATGTATCCTATCTCATTCCCGCCCTCGAGCCCGCTCCTTCCTGAAGCTCAGCTCCCCTCTCTCTATCTCTCGTTATCACTCTGTCCCCCCCTCTCTCTCTTGCACCTGATCATACCCTCCTTCTCTTCCTTCCCCGATCATTATCCCCCAAAGGGGGCTCGTTAGGAAGCCATCCTCCCCCATCAAGCTCCTCCTTCCTCTCTCTCCCCCTGTCCGTATCCTCTGATCGCACGACAAAGCATGGGTGGAGCTGCAGACCGAGGAGCTGTACGACATGCTGCGGCTGTTCCGAGTGATGAAATGCTACGACCAGACCACGCGCAAGATACACACCATGCCGAGAGACGTGCCGATGGACCAGCCCTCGCCAGAATCCGACGAGCAGCCGCTGCCTTCTCCCATACAAGTCCGCGGCCTGTTGCAAAAGGCGCTGGTCGAGGCAGGGGCGCGCAGGGCCCTGGGCCCGGCGCCTCCTGGCGCCTTGGAGGAGATCATGCAAAACGCGGTGGACGGTAAGGAGGCTAGCGCGTGATCGATGGCAAGTCCTGGCCTTCGGGAGTCAGGCTCATGTCGCGTTTTGCCGTGGCTTTGCGGCTCGAACTGGCAAGTCCTGACTTTCGGGCAGGCTCATTCGTCGCGTTTTGCCGTGGTCTGCGCCTCGAAATTCAAATCCTGGCCTTCGGGAGTCAGGCTCCGTCGCGTCTTGCTGCAGCTCGAACTGCTACTTGGGCGTGAGTTTGTTTCGTACCTGGTGATGTTCACTGGCTGCACCTACGAGTTCGCTGATTACCATGACTTCGGCCTAGCGCTGTGCATCGTCGGGGGCGTCGTCGCGTCCATTGGTGACTATGAGGCTTCCGACCAGGTGTGCGGCGTGCTCGTCTAGGCCGGCCTTTCTTTTGTGTCGCAGCGCTCGCTGCTGGGTGAGCCTCTGACTGATCAACCGCCGACCCTGGGGGGCCCCTTCGCTGCTCCTGCCGTTGCCCCCGCTCTTCTCGCTCGCCTCTCCTCCTGCTCTCCTGGCTCCTCTCGCCCGTCCTCGGCCCCTCGGGTGTTACTTGAACGGCCTTTTGTGGCCTTGCTGCCCCTCCCTGCCTGGGGTCACGTTCGCATCCCACTCGTCGGTGCGCACGTCCCTGGGACTCAGTTTCTCGGTCCGTCAGGGCCTGCTGGGCCCCGCTCGACTTCGTGGCATTAAATTGCCGTCCGACGGGTGCACTCTCAGAGTTTCACGCTTTTGAAGATTTAAATCCTAACCCCTTGATTTAAACTCTTCGCTACATATCTGCACGCTTGCGCGTACACGCTGAGCTCGGCTCTCGCGGTCTTCCTTGCTGCCGCATCCCGCCACGCTTAGTGAGAACAAGGAAAGCTGCGGGCCCAAAATCGTGTCTAATCTAAGTATCCTCTGATCCCTGTTATTCCCTCTCCGTCTTCCCGCGTGTCATACAACAATGTATAGGGTGGGCCGATGAGGAAAGGGGGAAAGGAGGAGGAGAGACGATCACGAGGATGAGCAAGGGCAAGATGAAGAACAACGCGCGCGACACATAATTCAAAAACCACTAGCCAGGCCGGGTCCGGGCGCTGACGGAACACGCGGCTGGTAGCACACGGCGCGCCGCACATCTTCTACTGGAGGAGAAGGACGGGGAGAGAATGAGCGATACATATATATATATATACATATTATATATATATATATATATATAGAGAGGGAGAGAAAGAAAAACAAAAAAAGAGAGAGGAACCATGGCACGCGGCAGGTGCGCGGCGGGTAGTCGAGGAGACGTAGCAAATCACACGCGCGGCGGCTCACGAAGCACCACGGCCAGGACCAAGGTGATGAGCGTTATGAAGATGATGCCCACGTAGAACAGGGCCTCCTCTCCGCCGGCCAGGGCAACGCTGCTCCCGCCGATGGCCTCCTGGCCCTCCGTGGCGAGCGCCGGCAACTGGGACAAGCCCAAGGCGCCCACCGCACCCCCAGCAGCGGCCAGCGACCGCTGCGCCGGCTGCGGCACGAAGGTGTGGCTGCCTGCCCACAGCAGCGCCGTGCACAGGAGGACGGCGACGAGGGGGCTGCTGCTGCGCGCCATCGCGGACGTCTGAGGCGAGCGAGGGCGAGGAAGGCGCGGGCTGGGCCAGAGCAGAGCTCGTGGTGACCTGTCCTGGGCCAAAGTGGCTCGGCAGAGGCCACCCAGAGGCATTCCAAGAGTCCCCTTGGAGGTCAAAACGCAAAACTGGCTTAGCGAGCGGCAGAAGCTTTATGCAACTTACGGGGGCGGTCCTCACATTGCGTAGCCGAGGCCTCCTTGCGCGGACCATAACGTTTGCGGGATGTGCCAGCACGGGCGCAAGGGCCAGGGGCCCTGCATTAAACACACGGCGTGCGGTGGGTGTGCCGAGCTGGATGCGGGGCGCACTATCTTAGAGCGGGCACGCGCGGAATGCTCTTGCGACGGACGCACCACCGTCTGGACCTGGGGCGCACCATCCGCGAGAAAAAAGCATTCATGTCCGAGGTGGATTTTCCGTGCTGCTCAGCACGTTTGGAGGAACAGGGCGTGGCATAACCATAGTTCCTCGGTCCGCACGGATTTCGTGGATCGGCGCTGGGCCCTCCTCGCGCCAAGGAGGGAGGTCTAGCGCCGACCAAAGAAATCCGCGCGGACCTCTGGGACATTTCTTATAAAACAGATATATATATATACACACATTGATAACACACAAGCAAACGTTCTCCCCAACACATCCGACCACGCTTCGGGCAAAAACTGCTCAACGGCTTACGCTAGCACGGGGTCATGCAGAATGCCAAGCAGAACTACACAAACATATGAAGGACGCACACGCGTGGACCCCACGTCATTGCTTCTTGCAACCTCTGTCGTGCGGGAACCTGCCATGTGGGGCAACACCGCGTGGGTCACTGTCGCACGGAATCCTGTCGCGTGGGGCCCCGTCTTGTGGGACCCTACCGTGTGGGACCTTGTATCGCGCAAGAACCCGTCGTGCGCGAACCTATGGGGGCCCTTCCGTGAGGGACTCCATCGTGGGGGACCCCGTCGGTGGGGCACTCCATCGCGGGGGGCCCCGCCGCACTGGCCCTACGGCAAGAGCGGAACCACCGCGATGGCGGGTGGGAGGGAGCGGGGGAGGGCGAGCTGGCGCGAAACGCAGAAGGGGATGGGGAGGGAAAAGGGGGAGGCCAAAGGGGGTGGAAGAAACGCGCAACTTTCTGCGTCGCAGCACGGCAAGAGCGACCCGCACGGGCGCTCGAGATGTCGGGGACACGCGACTGACTCGTTGCCGGGGTTGGAGAAGCACGATAGATACTACACAAACGATTACCTGTCGGTCGGAAGAAGCAGGTAGAAGCATGAAGCAGGAAGGCGGATCAAGCCGATTGGGTTCGCACCCGCTCAGGGAGGAACAGAACAGAGCAAACGCATGCCGATTCTTGAAGTAACTAGGCGCTTGAAGTACAGTGGAATCTGGGAATCCGATAACCCACTTTCAGCGCCTGGCGTGTACCCACCGGTCGGAAGAAAAGGAAGCGGATCGAAACATGAAGCAAGAGGGCGTAGAACATAGATTGAGCTTCCCCTCGCCCCCTGAAAAAAGAGGGAAGAGGGATAATCGCTCAAATCTTGAAGTAGGACGGCGCCTCAAGCAGATCAGGATCGGGGAACCCGAGAACACTTACATCCAAAGACAGATGGGTATGTCTATGCCGTTACTTGGAACTTGCCAACGCTCTGACAAACATTTCCCGTGCACTTGCTCGGTTCTGGGCGTGTTTTTCGTCGCACGATGCTCCCAGATGTACCCAACAACTCGTTGTTCGAAGGGCGGGTTAGCATGGGGGAGACGGGTCCCGAGGGAAAATGGTCCTGAACCCCAGGGGCCTTCCCCGAGGACGAGATCTTCATCCTGAGCCGTTTCGTGTGAAAACGTAAAAAACCTCAGGACCCGCCTCCCCCAGGATTCGTTTCTCGGGCCGGGCGAAAGGGGGGGGATGGCAAAAAAGGGGTTTGAGAATCAGCTCACGCCGCTGACTTTCCCGGCGCCTCCCTGTGCCGGGAGGCGCCCCTGTATCGAGGAATGGGCCCGGCGGCGGGGCCGACACCAGCTGCGTGCAGCAGATTTCGTAACCCCCCCTTTCCCAATGCCCCCCCTTTCGTGCGGCCCGAGTTTCCACCATGGCGATGTTTACCCGAGGGGCGGGGCGGAGGTCGGCCGCGCTCCCCGCCGGGGCTCCGCGGCCGCGGAGTTCTCCTCCGCGCTCGCGCCGCGGGCGCCCCGCGCCGCGGCCGCGGGGCGCGCGGCGGGCGCGAACCCCGGGGCGCGGCTGCCGCTCGTGCTGCTCGGGAGGGGGCTCTCCTCCTCCTCCTCCTTGCTCCCTCCTCCTCCTCCTCCTCCTTGCTCCCTCCTCCTCCTGCTTGCTCCCTCCTCCTCCTTGCTCCCTCCTCCTCCTTGCTCCCTCCTCCTCCTCCTCCTCCTCCTCCTCCTCCTCCTTAGGAGGCGCTGGGCTCGGCCTGCGGCGGCTCGCGCAGGTCGACGCTCGCCGCGTGGGGCACGCTGTGCTTCTCGAGCACCTCCGCCGTGGCGGCCCTGGCTTCGTCGGCCTTCAGCACAAGCACCTTCGGGCGTCTGCGGGGCTGGGTTCAATGGGACGCGGGCGCAGGATGGCGAAACAACGAAAAACATCTACGAACCAGTTTGGGGCCATTTCGGCGAAACAGCGAAAAACATCTGCGACCCAATTTGGGGCCATTCTCGGCCTCTGGGGGCCGCCTTCGGGTCCCGGGGAGCGTCAGGCTCGGTGGAAGACTGCACCAGATGGACCCGCGAGGGGGTCCACCAGGGAAGGAGTCGGGTAACTCGATGGGCGGGATTGGCGTTGGCGAGTACCTTCGGGCGTTGGCGTTTGCGGGACTGGGTTTAGTGATGTGTTCCAAGGGAGGCCCCCCCCGCCCCATTCCACTAACAGGAACTGCCGTCACACGAAGAAAAACAGCTACGGCACACCTGGTTTGGTGATTGAGTTGCGTAGTTTGGGCGTTGGGGCTCAGTTGCTAACTGGCCAGCGCGGCAGTCCACGATGGAGACGAGGGCGCCTGCGCGCGACCTTACGCGTGCAGCTTACACACGAATGTCGGCGCAATCGACCCCCTTATCTTCCGTCGCTCACCTGTTGGCGGCGTGCCCGGGGGGAAGTGAGAAGGAGCAGGCCTTCTCAGAAGGCGACGGGGCTTCTTACAAGGAATCCCGCCTTCTGGAAGGTTTTCGATGTCTTCGGGGAAGGCTTATTGGGGGCGCGCAAGCATGGATTATCGATCCATGGACTTGGCGCGCGGTCGCCAAATCCATGGGTCAGGGGAGGTACCCTCCCAAAAATGCAGCCAGTGCCGCCTCGCTCGGCGGCGGAAATCTTCGATTTCCAAGTGAAAAGGGACCCGACGCTAATCCACGCCCCGTTGATTCAAGCTTGCGGTCACCTGAGCTTAGGAAGCTCCTCAGAAGGCCCGAGGCCTTCCGAGCCTTCTGAGAAGGCCCAGCCCTCCTCACTTCCCCCCCGAGGCTCGCCGGCGAACCTGGCCGTGGTGGAGGCCCAGCCGCAGGTAGCCGCTGGTGACCGCGTCGATCATCTCCATCGCGTGCGCCAGGTTCTTCACCTTTAGAGGCCTCCTCCTAGATGGGGTCGGAGTAGATGGGACCGGAGGATCGCGCCGCATCGCCGAATGCACCAGCGATGCATCGTCGACGTCGGCGATGCCATGGCAATGGCGACATCGACGTGAAACACATCGGGCTGTACATCGAGCCGCATCGGCGATGACTCGGCGATGCGGCGCGATCCTCTGACCCCATCTACTCCGACCCATCTGGGAGGCCTAGAACCTTGGCGCCGCTGACGGTTTCCAGCTTCAGGTTCTCGAGTGTCTCGTAGCCGACGGTCAGCGGGTGCGAGAGCACCTGTGTGAGCATCACGATCTGCTCGTCAAAGGTCTGAGCGTGGTCGACAGTCGCCCACTGCACCATCTCTACCGGCGCCTTCCGGTCCCAGTCCTGGCCGTACTCGGACTCCAAGAATGGCATTGACAGGGACGTGAATACCAAACCGCCGACGATGAAGTACGACGGGCCCGGGTGCTTCCTCGTGAAGAGGTGGATGGGCACCAAAGCCGCCTCTGGCTGGAAATTCTCTATGGTCAGGTCAACCTTCTGGCCGTCCCGCAGCACGGTGAGCGTTGCCTTTTCGCCGAAGAACTTCTGGGCCACGAGCCACGTGTACATGACGCGCTCGTGCTTCCGGAAGCGCACGGTCCCGTCGTTTCCAATGGGCTCTCCGTCGAACTCGAGCAGCACATCCCCCGAATTGATCACATTGGAGGCCGACGATGTGGGAACGACCCGGCTGACCAATACGCCTCTCTGCTTTGGCGCCAGGCCGTAGGACTCGCGCAGGTGGGCGTTCTCCATGGTCTGGATTTCCACGCCCAGGGAGGGGAAGCCAGTGTACTTCCCGTGCTTTAGCAAGTCATTCAGAAAAAACGCGAACCCCACGGGCCAACGGCGCACTAGGATCTCCAGGACTAGGCTCAAACCTGTCCAGAACGTTTACGTTCTACGAGTCTGCGCGCGCAGGGCGGCCTCTACGGGGTCTCATGACGAAGCGTACCCTGGCAAGGTCCCAGGAACCCGCAGCAAATTCGGATCGGCCGTGCTCTTTCTTCTGGGCGCGGCCCTCAACTCAGCAGGGACCGACCGTCCTGGCATGTCCTATAGGCCTACTGCAACGTTTTCTTTGAACACATGCTCTAATCACAAAACCGTATCTTTATAACACAGAGCCGATGTGCAATAATGAACACGGTCTCAGTCCAAGAACATGCCGCGCAAACTGCAAGAGGTCATTAGAACAGCCTTTGGTGGGCCAAGAGGAGGAGGAGGAGGAGGAGGAGGAGGAGGAGGAGGAGGAGGAGGAGGAGGAGGAGGAGGAGGAGGAGGAGGAGGAGGAGGAAGAATAATAGGAGGAGGAGGAGAAGGAGGAGGGGGAGGAGGAGGAGGAGGAGGAGGAGGAGAGGAGGAGGAGGAGGGAGGAGGAGGAGGGAGGAGGAGGAGGAGGAGGAGAAGGAAGAGGAGGAGGAGGAGGAGGAGGAGGAGGACTACGAATGAAATCCCCTCCATTGCTCGACTCAGGAGCAAAGGATCGCCCCGAGGGAGCTCCGAGAGAGAGAGAGCCAGCGAGTGGTCAGGTAACGGGGATCATCAATGCGTGGCAGGCCTCAAGGTCGCCCCGGGATGGCCCAGCATGGTCCAAGACAGCCTTCCAGAGGCTCCCAGCAGGCCAAACCCAATCAAACACCTGTAGATGTCAGTTTTTTCGTAAAGCCAGCAACTGGTCATTTCTCTCCCTTCTGGAGGCGGCTTTGCGGTCGCCCAGGATGTTTCCAAGCAGGGTCCAAAGAAGATCCATGAGGGCCTCAAAGGCTCCTGAGGGCGTCCCGAGAGAGGCCCAGGATAGCTGCGAGAGCCCAACAACGAACGGCCCAGGGGCGAGGACCAATGGGTGGCAGGCACTGAGATTGCTCTCTCCAAGACAGCCCCGGTGGCAGGGCCAGAAATATCCCTAAGGCAGCCCCCAAGGCCCCAAGATAGCCCCAATATGCCCAGGACTGTCCAAGACAATTGTCAAGAGGACAGCAGGAGGCTCAACTCCTCCAAACAAATAAACTGGTTTGAATTGCGTCCCTGGTCATTTCCTATGGGCGTCTGAGGCTTCAAGATGGCCTGGGCATCGCCGAAAATATATCAAAGTGGATCTCAGAGCTGGAAGAGAGAACCACAAAAGAGCTCCGACCTCGCGCCAAACAAGACACAACCATGCCTAAACGCAGAGCCTCGGGTCACACCACCCGAGGTGATCCCAGCACCAGGACGTGGCCCCGAATGGCCCCTTCAAACCCAGAAGAGGCCCCCGCGAGCACCTGAGACACCCTCAAGGAGCCCCCGGATTCATCGCAGAGACTTTACTGCATCTCCCAGAAGCTCCCCTGCCCATGCATATTTGACCCTCGCCTTCATCGAAATGCGCTTTCCGATCCTCGTGCGCTTGTATGCCCCACCCGTGGCCTGCCCCTCTTACATTTGGCACTTCCCAAACCCAAGTGCCAACAATGACACGACATGTGCCGGCGGAATGAGCGAAGCAGTGGCATGCATGACTACCACGCTTGGGATGACGTAGCCAATGTTCTCCGCCTCATCGGCGCCCATACTCTGGAACGCCACGCCCACGCACTCCCCGGCGGCGTTGAACGCCGGTCCTCCGCTGTTGCCGCTGTTTATCGCAGCGTCGATCTGGATTCCCAGGAGCTCCATGGAAGCCTGGGTGTAGGTCGTGACTTCTATCCGAGAGATGACGCCGCTGGTGACGCTGATGGTGTCACCGCCAATGGGAAAGCCGACGCAGAGCACGTCCTCCTCCAGCCGTGGAATCTTCGGGTTGAGCTGGACAGAGCACATATCCTCCCAAAACTCATCGTCCTCCACCGTGAGAACGGCCACGTCGCACTCCCAGCCAACGGAGAGCACTTTCGCCAGGTACTTCACGTCGCTCCCACGCCGCTGCAACTTCACCTCCGTGTGCCACTCCACACAGTGCGCGTTGGTGAGCACGACGCGCTTCTTCGCGTCAATGCAGAAGCCAGAACCGCTCGACCGCTCTTGCCGGCGCCTCTGCCAAGGCAGCGAGAAATTCGGAGTGCTGTGGACGCACCAGACCTCAGCTGCCCCGATACGCAACACGCAACACGTAGCTTATTGACACGGAGCTCAACACGTAGACCGAGACCGTAAGTCTGTCGCGATGCGCTCGCCAGCAGGTGGGCCAAAACGCTGAGCCAACACGCAACGTATTGACGCAGGCGCTTTGAGCACAGTACGTGTTGCGTCCCCGAAACGGGCGTATCCAGGCAGCTAAGCACCAGACCTTCACCACCGAGTCCATAGGGACGCCCAGGCTGTCAAGCTCCTCATCGCTGTCCTCAGGGGGCCCTCCGGCTCCTGCTCCGTGCCCCGGCCCGCCCGCGCGCGCGCCCTTGTCCTTCCCCTTCCGGCGAGGCATGTCGCCCTGGACGCGCGGGGGTTCGGGGTCGGCGGGTCGCGGCCAAAAACGGAGGCTCGAGCCAAGCCTCACTCTGCAAGTCCCTGGGCGGTGTGCAACTTCGCCGCGCGCGCGAGGGGGGCCCGGCGGTCCGGGCGAGGTAGTTTGAAGGCAGACGTCTGATACAGTTTGGCGGCGCGTTTGCGTCGACAAGCGGCCTACCGCGAGGTCAGGAGCTGCTTGGGCGGCGCTTCCCCAATCGCCATGATGCGTTGTCGGCGAGGCACTCGGCTGGCAACCTGGCACAAGATGCGCGACCGTCCCAGACCCCAAGGTGCTCACAAGCCTCACGGTAATTGTGCGATCCTTTGCCCAGGCGCGCTGAATTGCTACCAACTTCTGGCACGAGCCCATGATCCAGCATCGTGCACCCTGGCAGGGTGGACAGTGACATCGCGATTCCTGCACAATCTGGCTGCCTGGCTGGGCTTGCATAGTTCCCACCCCCCTCCCCGCCCCCCGTCAGTCGGGCGCACGCTAGCATCGATTCGGGATCCGTTGATCTGGCGCCTGGGCGCCAGATCCACGGATCGGGAAGGCAACCCCTGAAACGTGAGGCCCATTCCGCCCGATTTGGCGACGGAGCGCGCCGATTCTCGACGGAAACGGGGTCCGTCGCTAATCCACGCCTCGCGAATCCATTCTTGCGCTTTCTCGAATCAGGGCCGCGCCCGGTACCGTGCACCGCTCTGTCCCCCCGCTTGCATGTCTGCCGCTCTTCCTTCCTCCCTGCCCCCCGCAGGACAAGGGCAGCCTCCGAGCTGTGGCTGCGGATGCCCTGCGTGGCTGGCACAGGGTGACCATGCCGCGGGCCAACTATTGCTACCCAGGTGGAGGAGAAGGAGGAGGAGGCGGAGGAAGGGGAGGAGCAATTCGCTGGAATTCGGTGGTAACCACAATGCGGGAGGAAGAGGAGGAGGAGGAGGAGGAGGAGGAGGAGGAGGAGGAGGAGGAGGAGGAGGAGGAGGAGGAGGAGGAGGAGGAGGAGGAAGATGAAGATGAGGAGGAGGAGGCAGAGGAGCCAGAGGAGGCAGAGGATGAGACGGAGGAACAGCAGCATCTGAATAAATAGCGAGGAAGTCCCACGCAAGAGCGCGATTCCTGTATGCATCGTGAGGAGATCCCGCGCGAGAGAGGGATTTGGGAATCAATTGTGAGGAAATGGCGGGTGCCGTTGTTGTTGCTGTTGTTGTTGTTGCTGTTGTTGCTGTTGTTGAACTCTCACTACTGAAGAACAATTATTGTTGACCCCCCCTCCGGTGCACATTGTATTTTTCAATTGAATTGCCCTCCTGGCGCTCGCACCCTGTTTTGTTTATCTGGTAAAATCTTGAATCTCAAACTGTGTCGTTGGCCCCTGGGTTATCACAACAAAGGCTCCCGCTTGAGACTTCCTTACAATTTAGTCAGGACCCCCGCTCCCGCCTGAGACTTCCTCGCGTGTTATTCAGGGATCGCGCTCTCGCTTGGGACTTCCTTACAATTTATTCCGGAATCGCTCTCCCGGCGCTCTGGAATCGCGCTCTCGCTGGAGACTTGCTCGCACTTTACTCAAGAATATCACCCTTGCGTTGGAATTTCCCACTATTTATTCAAGCGCTGCGCTCCCGACAATCAGGCACCCAGGAGTCGAGCTCACGCTTAGGACCCCCTCACAAATTATCCTTCGTGGCCCCGTTGCAGCCCTTCGCGGCCCCCTCGCTGCGTGGCCCCCTCGCTGCCCTTCGTGGCCCTGTTGCAGCCCCTCGTGGCCCCCTCGCTGCCCTTCGTGGCCCCGTTGCAGCCCTTCGTGGCCCCCTCGCTGCCCTTCGTGGCCCCGTTGCAGCCCTTCGTGGCCCTTCGCTGCCCTTCGTGGCCCCGTTGGAGCCCTTCGTGGCACCCTCGCTGCCCTTCGTGGCCCCGTTGCAGCCCTTCGTGGCCCCCTCGCTGCCCTTCGTGGCCCCGTTGCAGCCCTTCGCCCCCTCGCTGCCCTTCGTGGCCCCGTTGGAACCCCTCGTGGCCCCCTCGCTGCCTTTTGTGGCCCCGTTGCAGCCCTTCGTGGCCCCTTCGCTGCCCTTCGTGGTCCCATTGCAACCCTTCGTGGCCCCCTCCCTGCCCTTCGTGGCCCCATATATGCATGCCCTTCGTGGCCCCCGCTCGTTCGCGCCCGTCGTGGCCCCATACGAATACCCTTCGCTGCCCTTCGTGGCCCCGTTGCTGCCCTCCATGGCCCCGTCCTTGCCGTCCGCGGCCCAATCTGCGCATGCCCTTCGTGGCCCCTGCTCGTTGGCGCCCGTCGCGGCCCCATACGAATGCCCTTCGTGGCCCCGTTGCAGCCCCTCGTGGCCTCCTCGCTGTCCTACGTGGCCCAGTTGCTACTCTCAGTGGCCCCGTCGTTCTGTGGCCCCGCATTATCTGCCCTTCGTGGCCCCCGCTCGTTCGCGCTCTTCGTGGCCCCATGCGCATTCCCTTCGTGTCCCCGCTGTCGCCCTTCGTGGCCTACTTCGTGCCCTTCGTGGCCCTGTTGTCGTTCTCTCTCTCGCTCTCGCTTTCACTCGTCGTCGTCGTCGTCGTCGCCGTCGCCGTCGTCGTCGACGTCGCCGTCGTCGTCGTCGTCGTGGTCTGTCCCCTGTCCGTCCCTCTTTGGGTCGGATTGCCGCCGATCAGCGCTGCCGCTGGCCACGCCGACTGTCCGCTGCCGCCCCGCCGCTTGCCGGAGCCCGGCCTGCATCAGGAGGTTGTTGATGGTGCGCCGCAGACCCCGGACGTAGCAAATTGTCCGATGCGCCCCATGCGGCCCGATCTAACAGGAGCTCGTATTCTGGTGGAGGGCAGGGGCATGCTGTCACATCGTCCGAGGTTGCTGCGCTGCTCGTCCAAGGCATCCAGTTCATTGTCCAGATCGTCGAAAGATCTGCTGCTTCGGGTCGTCCGAGGTTGCTGCGCTGATCGTCCAGGGAATCCAGCTCACTGTCCGAATCGTCGAAAATATGCTGCTTCGGGGTCGTCCAGGGCATGCGGAAATACGTGAAGATCTCTCTGCCGTGAACCGTCGGGCTCGTTCTAGACGAGTTTTTCGAAGCTGCATCAAGCGCCGGCGAGGAAGAGGGTGGCGCCGCGCTCGTGGGCGCTCGTGATGTAGCCGCCGCCGAGACCGAAGTAGACGCGGCAATTTGCGTGCGGGTCGTTGTCCAGAACTGATGTCGTCGCGGCGGCGGCCACCAGGGGGCTGCCCTGGAGCTCCAGCGCCACCAGGGTCGCCAGCGGCCTGACGAAACTGATGGAGTCGCGGCAAGTGGAGCTCTGGAAACGGCCTTAATCGACGATGCCGCGGCCGCTGGTCAGGGCCGCCGCTCCCGTCCCCGCCGTTCCGTGGGCGCGGTGTGAATACAGTGGTTCTGCGGAGGTGCCTGGCATCCTCGCTGATAGCCTCCGCCTCGCGGCTAATTTTTCCCTCGCGACGACATTGCCCACCTCGTTAATCAGCGCTCCAAATCCCGACGGCACAGCTGCGCTGCAGCGTGAGACAGAGAGCCGCGCGGCGGCAGGCGATCCGCCGAGACGACGGTCTCATGCGAAGAGTGCTCGAAGAGGAGGGGTAAGTGGCAGACAGGTCAGCGGCGGTGTGCGTGAATACCCATGGTCCAAATGACCGTTTATGAAACAAGGCACAACATAGGACGATAAAGCGACACAGCACCGTGGTTGTGTCACCCGAGGCGGAGGCCTCGTATCACAACGCCTCCGCCTCGGGGCTGGAGTCCCGACTTCCAATCTTCCTGCCCTCTGCGGGCGGCCTGGAGGAGATGCTCGATTCTGCCCTTCTGAACTGGGTCGTCAATGCCATCACCGTCTCCACGGGGCGCGGAATCAGCAGCAGACCCATCCAGACCCCCAGGCCGCGAGGGGCCGAATGCCGCCCCGAACCCTGCCAGGTCGGGCTCCACCTGCTGCCGCCGCGGCTGGCGCGGCAGCTGGTGCGGCGCCAGCCGTGGGTGGCGCGCCGTCGGTGCTGGCGGCGGCGCCTGCTCAAGGGGCTTTGTTGACGTCTGTGCGCCTCCGCTTTGCCTGCAGACGGGCACGGAGTTGCTTGCGCTTCTCGCCGAGCTTGGACAGGTTCCCCGCGGACTCGCCGAAGATCTTATGCACCTTGGTGCGCAGCTCGTCAGCGACCTGCTTCTGGAGGGCCTGCAGCTGGTCGATGTCGGGCTGGTGGACCTCCAGCCCCGTCGTGTCGAATGCGGCACCCGCCACGAAACCCAGGGCTCCACCAGCCTCCAGGAACGTCGTGAGGTTGAACGCAACCGCCCCATTGCTCGCCGCGGCGGGCGCTGCGTGAACGCAACCGCCCCGTTGCTCGCCGCGGCGGGCGCTGCGGGCGCAACGGCTGGGACTGGCGGCTCGTGGCCATTGGACAGTTGCGCCAAGGCAGCTGTTGCCGTCTCCGTAGCCTGGGGCAGCTCGGCCGCGGCCTGGTCGGAAAGCTTCTGCCTCGTGCCGGATCCGCGCCTTGCGCTCCGACTCGACTGCCTACTCCACAGCCTTCTAAGCTGTGCGCTCCGCGGCCGCCGCCGTGTGGTAGACCATGTTGGGGTCTCCTGGCTTTGGCGGAGGCGCCTGCGGAAGGGCTCCCTTGAACGCCACGAGCGCCTCCTTCTGGGCGGGGGGGATTTCTGCCTCGAGCAGCTTGATGAGTTCCCCAGTGCTCGGGGCGGGCGGCGGAGGCGGGCCCGTCCCCGTCCTGGGCTGGCGGCGGCGGCGGGACTTTGGCAAGCTGGACCACTCGGGTCACCCGTCCGCATTCGGTCCCGCGGGCTTGGTGTTGGTCCACACTTCCTGCAGCGGCTGCAGGGACCAAGGTGCCGTGGCGAGCTCGAGCGGCTTGCCGCAGGCGAAGCACTTGGGCCTTCCATGCCAGGTCTACGTACTCGCATTTGCATGTGATGCATATCGTGTACCGAGGCTTGGGCCAACGCGGCGGCGCTGGCACCATCGCGAGTACTGCGGGGAGCGAGAAGGGGCTCGCACTGCAGCTCTGGCTGCAGAGAACGACTCCCCTGAAATGGGATTGGAAGACCGCCGCGGACCAGCAGTATCCACTTGTCCATCTCAAGAACCCATCGCCGTAAGCCCAAATGGCTGCGGGAGGAAGGAGAGGAACGACGAGTAGGAAGAGGAGGAGGAGGAAAAGGAGGAGGAAAAGGAGGAGGAGGAGGAGGAGGAGGAGGAGGAGGAAAAGGAGGAGGAGGAGGAGGAGGAGGAGGAGGAGGAGGAGGAGGAGGAGGAGGAGGAGGGGGAGGAGCAACTGCTTTGTCTGGCCAGCGGGGAACGCTCACATCTCGGTCCGATTCTGCGGCGGGACCAGCCCGCGCGGCGCGCCGGCCCACGGAACTGCCGCGGCGGCACTTCAAAAAGGCGTCCCCTCCAGAGGCCGACTTGCCTCCTCCTCGTCCTCGTCCTTGCCCCTGCTCCTCCGGCTCGCTCCTGGGGGAAAAGGGGGAAGGAAAGAGGGACGGGAGGGAAGCGGAGGGAGAGGAGCTGAAGGGGAGAGGGAGGGGGGCAGTGGGGTAGCTCCCCCTGCTAAACTATCGTGGGCGCTCCTAGTTGCCGGCCCCCGCGGCCGCCGCGGCCTGGGAGACGGCCTCGGCGGGCGCGGCGGCCTGCGAGACGGCCCCAGCAGCCGCAGAGGCCTGGGCGACGGCCTCGGCGGGCGCAGCGTGGGCGGCTGCTGGTCCTGATGCCTGCCTGATGCTCGAACCCTGCCCAGTATTCTCATGTTCCTGCTACCGTGGCCGCTGCCGCTGCCGCCGCTTTCCTGCTCCCGCGGGTCGCCGTCGGCGTCGCCGTCTCTCCTCCTCCTACTCCCCGATGGTGGCCAGGCCAGCGTCAATTCCCAAGCCCGCATCAAAATGCTCATGCTCACGCTGCTCTTCCAATTGCAGCTCCTACTCCCGCTCCCGCCTTGTATCTGTCCCTGCGCTAGATCCTGCCCGCCCCCCCCCCTTCTTGAGACCTCAGGGGTGCGACCGCATCCACGACAACGGTGGGCACATTATTGTTGCCTGTTCTTGGCCATTTGGGACTTTCTTGAGGACCTACTGGGGCCCTTCAGGTGCGATCTGGGACTCCAGCAGGCCGCTCTTGGGGACATATGGAGCACTCCCAGGCCGTCCTGTGAGGCAAGCGAGGCGTGAGGCTCTTGGGGATCGTAATGCTGGCGCGGCTCATAAGGCCCATTGGACCCAGCAAGAGGCTATCGGGGCTCATGGGGCTTGGAGGGCTCGCAAGACTTTCGGGGGTCAAATTGCCAAGAAGAGAGCTCACCAGGCCCACTCACGGGTCTCATTTACGGGGATCTCATGACCCATGCGGCTCGTAGAGATATGCCCCGCGTTGGTAATAGCATCAACTGTGATGCCCAAGCTGCGACCCACAACATCGCCAACAAACGACAGACAACAGACGACCGACGACGACGACGACGACGACAGACGACCGACGACCGACGACAGACGACCGACGACCGACCGACGACCGACGACGGACGACCGACGACGACGACGACGACGACGACGATGGCGACGACGACAGACGACGGCGACGGCGACGGCGACACCTGGACCCTGAGTCGGATCCAACCGCGAACGCCCACGCCGAGACGCAGGACGGACCGTCACGATGCGCGCTCCTCGACGTGCCATCGACGACGACGACGGCGGCGGCGACGCTCGCTCAGACGGCTCAGGCTGTTCCGGGGCCGCCGGCAGTACAGTCGGGCCGCTGAAAGAAGGCACTAAACAAGGAACGAACAACATTTTGGCACCAGAAGCACCTGCGTGCACGAGGAGGGCTAGAGGAACAGCCATGGAAGGACCTAAGGAACCTCCAGCCCCTTTCGAACCCAAACTGTTCCTTGTATCGGCGACTTGACTGTATAGCCCGAAACCCAGCTCCCAAGAGGCCTCGGAAAAAAAAACGTCTTGGTCTTGTGGGGCTACCCTGGGGGGAGGCAGGCACGCGGGCGGGCGAAGAGGCAACGTACCCAGTGCCCCCCGCCTCCCTCCCTCCCTCCCTCCCCCCCCCTGCTCTGTTCCCCTTGCCGTCCTGAACCGCCTACCCCTCTCATGTCGGATGCTCCTCCTCACCTCCCCTGCCATCCCTGCTCCCGTCCTGCCCCCCTGTTCACTTCCTCCCCTCGCCTCCCCTCTCCTCCCCTCCTCGCACCTCCCCCCCCGCGCCCCTCCCAGAGGGAGCGGGGATGTGGGGGTGGTGGATGGAGGACGCGAGAGGCAAGACGCGGGGGAGAGAAAGAAAGAGAGAGAGAGAGAGAGAGAGAGCGAGAGACACACACACACACGCAGACTAAGTGACTGACTGACTGACTGACAGGCAAACAGACAAAGAGAGAGAGAGAGGGGGGAGGAGTGATGGAAGAGAATATGGGGAGGGAGGAGGAGGAGGAGGAGGAGGAGGAGGAGGAGGAGGAGGAGGAGGAGGAGGAGGAGGAGGAGGAGGAGGAGGAGGAGGAGGAGGAGGGAGGAACGGTAAACAGCACGAGTGGGAGGAAGGTTATGGTGAGAAGGGGAAACGTACGTGAGCAAACGGTCAAACCCAGAGCCCGCAGCAAGAGGCACATCTAATACGTTGAAGGCCACAGCACAGGGCCAGTCGTAGCCACAATCTCAAGATTGCGAGCCACAACCTCATGATTGTCGCTTTGGGGAATCGCGCTATAGCTCGAAACGTCCTTGCGATTTGTGATGGATTGACGCTTAAGCAACCCGCCCGCTCGACCTGACCGCCTGAGCCCGCCCGCCCGACCTGCCCGTTTCGGTCCGCCCGCCCGACCCGCCCGTTTGGTTCTACCGCTTGTACTTCTGCTCCTAGCCTTCCTTCTTGCACATCTCTCTCGTGCTTCGTCCTTCCCCCTCACCCTTGTCTCATCCCTCCTCTCTACCTTCCCTATTTTGGGGGGGCCTGCGCCAAATACGCGCGGCACGTAAGGAAGATATACCCCCAATGGGGGTACGGTCGAAGACGACGAGGGCGGGTATCAAGGGTTTGGGATTTACGTGTTGAACGGCGCGCGGGCAGGTCAGAGCGAAGAGTCTTAACATGATTGTTGTTGTTGCTGTTTTTTTTGTGGCTTGTATTGTTGTTATTGTAGCTGTGTTTTTCCGGGGGGGGGGGGCGGGCCGGGCTTCGCAATCCCTCCCTATTTTATTGTAGCTGTGTTTTTCCGGGGGGGGGGGGGGGCGGGCCGGGCTTCGCAATCCCTCCCTATTCAAAAGCAACAGCAAAGCAACACCGCAACCACAGCACCAACAGCAACAACACCACCACCAACCACACCAACAACACCAGTAACAACATCAGCAACAACAAAAGCAACACAACCACTAACAACACCAACAACACCATAGCACAACAGCAATAACAACACCAACAACAACATCAACAACAACAACGCAACACCGCAACAACAATCCGCGCCGCGGAACCCCACTTTAACCACGCGCCCAGACAATGAATGACCGTTCGGCCCCCTCACACCGACTGAACATAACACATATATTCGTTGTGCAAGCGCTTCAACATAAACTCATTCACATGCAATCGGTTTTCTCAGTGGAAGCCTGGCAGAGTTGTTGCCGGGCGCAGTTATCGATCTCGTTCAGAGTCCGCATTCTCATCTCACCACGCGGTGCATCCGCCTTGACCTAGCAGGCTCCCAATGCGCAGGCCAGTGTCAAAGAGTACCATGCGGGCCATAAGCGTCTAGCAAACTCCAGTTATATAGGAACTGGCAATCGTGGCCGAGCCGATGTTGCCAAACATGTTGCGGATGGGTGGGTGGGAAATTTGCGCGAGTGTTGAAATTGACGACTTCAAGTTCATGGGGGTGGATTACAACCCGTAGGTTTCACCAAAAACTTGCGCCACATAATTTCCACCACATATCTTTCACGGGTAACTTGCGCCTAATAGCTTTCATCGCATATATTAGTAGATACTATCACCACCGTGCCTCGGCGGGAACACCATAATACCCCAACCACTGCTTGTATTCATAGGTCTTCTTACTCATGCTTTGAACCGCCGGGATGGTCTGCGCGAGGTTTTCCCCCCTATGGCTGCCCATCGCACCCTCGTCGTCACCCCGTGCACTGGCTGGACATAGCTTCCACCATATCATTTGCACAAACATGGTTTGCGCCGAAGAGCTTGCACAACAGAGTTTCCATCATTGCGCTACGTAATTTGCACCGCATAGCTTCCACTATTGCGTCACACAACTTGCACCGCATATGTTCCACCATATATATTGCACTCCGTGCTTGCGCAGCATAGCCCGCACCACATATATTGCACCACGTAGATTGCGCCACATAGATTACACGGCATCGATGCTCCTTTCAGGGAAATGTAGGTTCCCCCTTCGCGAACTCGGTATCTCTGCAAACGCTTCAACCTAACTAGCGCAAATCATACCCGTAGGTTTTTCACACCAGATGTTGCGGAGTTCCGCCTGCGCGCATGATTTGGCATCGCAAGAACATCCCATATTTGGAAACATTCGCCCAACAATCACACCACGCGGTGCACCCGCGTTGATCCTGTATGCACCCAGTGCACGAATCCGTACCAGACACTTCAATGCGGATCACACGCACGCGCCACCACGCGCGCTTGCCGAAAACCTTCCAACTCCATTGGCTTTCGATAATTTTGAGTATAGCTTTTCAAACGCATATAATCAACCAAATGTATGCAAACATAATGTCAGTGCTACTTTTCTTGGATTTCTTCGCGCGCGCTTCCTCGCCACAACCCTCATCAACGCCACCGCGTCGCCGCCAATATTGTTATCTTCAATCGCCGCAAGTGTCGCCATCATCCGCCAATCACTTTCAGCACCGACGCATGGACATCATCAGCATCGTCATCGTTGTCACCAGCATCGGCGCCTTCATTGGCCATAGCGTCGTCATCGTCATCATCGCCACCACCATCGCTACTATCATCGTCGTTGCCGCCTTCCTCGGCATCACCATGGTACCGAGCCAGCTCGTGTCACCGACCCGCATTGAAGTGCCCACGCGCCAGCGCGGCCTCTGAAACGCGCTGAGAAGTTCCAATCGGCAAGCGTCATCGCGGCCACATAAATTGTCAAGCCGGTTGACCGCCCTGCGCGCGAGATTGCGCGCGCCAGTGCGGCCGCAAAGATGCGTCAATCAGTGCCAACCACATTCGCAATCGTGGCCGCATGTGTTGTGAAGTTGCGGTTGGGAGGGTGGGATGTTTGCGCGAGCACTGGAGTTGACAAGCCATGAACAACAGATAGCTTCACCATGCCGATCGCATCAGATTCTTCTACCATATAGCTTGCACCACGGAGCTACTACCATACAGCTCGTAACATGTATTGCACAATACAGCTTGCTCACCATGTATTATTGCACAGCGCTTCTTATACATAACTTCCAATATAAAACTCCCACACCCAGGGTGCAACAACCCGCTGATTGGGGTCCACGCTGCTAAGCATCCGCCGACCCTGCCGGCGTGTGCGAGAAGGTCTTTCCGTTTGGAACGTCTATTCGTCGCCGTCGCAATCGCCGCTGCCCCTCCCTTTCCAGAAGCCCTCCCCCTGAAGCGTTCCGGCCAAAGGGAAATCTAGCAACGTCGTAATCGAGTCGAGTGGAAGTCCCTTCCCTTTGATCCCCCCCCTCGCGGGGGGGTGTGGGGGGGGGGCGGGAGGGGAGGTCAGGTGTGGAGGTCCCCTTCTCCCTCCCTCCTGGGGGAGCAGCCCTCCCTGGGAGAAATTTTCCACTTCGACTTCTTGCCTCCGAGACGCCTCGAACATACTTGTACGGCGGCTTGCTCCAAGAGAGCCCTGAAACCGTGTCCATCTCCTCCTCCTCCTCCTCCTCCTCCCAGTCGTCCGCCCTCCACCTCCTCATCCATAGGGCACCACTCGGCCGTGGCATCGAGAAGAACTGTTTGCGCTTGTAGAAAGAGAAAAGGAGAGGGAGAGAGAGAGAGAGAGGGAAGGAGAGTGCGTGATAGGAAACTAAAAAGACAGGTGAACATGAACACCGCATTGAAGTCGTCACTCGGACTCTCATTCTTTCCAGATGCGGCGGCTCATCGATCCTCGTCCTGCTCGTTCCTATCGTCGTCGCCATCGTCGCCATCCTCCCTTCCATCTCCCTGTCGCCGTCGACCTGTTCGTCCGTTCTCCATACTCCGTCCTCATTGTCCTCATCCTCCTTATCATCGTCGTCCTTCTTTTCCTGCTCATCCGTCCTCCTCCTCCTCCTCCTCCTCCTCCTCCTCCTTCTCTATCCTCTTCTTTTTCCTCCTCCCGATTTCCATTCACCCTCCCTGTGCCTCGGGCGGTGGTTGTTCCCTCGTGAGGATGAAAAACCCAGTGATCGACAAGAGGAATATCACCAAGAACACGGTCGAGAGGAATTCCAGCTCGACCGCCTGGGAGCCAGGGGTGCTGCTCTAGCGACAGGGAGATCTAATGTGGGCATCGTTTTTTCCTCTGCTAACGCTGTGAAGCACGAGCGTTTTCAGACCCGGGGATGCGCCAACCTGCCGGTCCACATACGTTGGCCAGCTCAGCCGGAGACAACCATCGGACTGGAAGCCGGCTGAGGCAAACGCTGCAGGAAGAAGCGGGCGCACGACTAAGAACACGCGCGCGTGCAGGAAGAGGGACCAGAAAGCGAGGAAAGGAAGAGGCGAAGAACATGCGAGCCGCAAGCGCACTCGACACGGAAAGCGGATGAAGACTCTGGTGAGTTGACATTAGTCTCATGGGTATAATTCGCCCGCCCAGCGGGCCAAAGGCGTGCTGGAATCTCCCGTGAGGCGGCCCCCCCTGGGGCTCGAGGAAACGTACTCTGCGACACCAGGTTCAGAGATGGTTTGTTTTCGTATGTTTTGGCTTGCTACCGCCCGAGACGGCCCAAGAGGCCTCCAAGATCGCCCCAAGAGGATCTAAATAGGCCCCCAGACTGCCCAAGAGGGCCCCAAGTCGGCCTACGAGGCCCCTCAAGAAGGTGCCAGAGGCATCCAAGAGCCCCCCAGCTGGGCTTAAGATGCCCACAGGAGGCCCCCAAACCCGAAAAGATCACCCCAAGAGGCCCCCAGACAGGCCCGAAGGCCCCCCACAGAAGCTCCAAGAGGCCCATGAAAACCTAGGAGCCTGCAACAATGCCTTAAAGAGGTCTCACGACAGACTCCAAGAAGCCTCCCAAAAAGGCTTCTTGTCCACGACCCAACCGCGCTGGGTTGACCGGCGGAGGCCAAAATCATAATGTTTACTATGGTTTTAGAAGGATTTTGGCCTTGTCGCCTTTTCGGCCATCCGATGCTCCAAGACGGCCCAAGAGGCCCCCAAAAGCGCCCGAAGAAGGGCCAAGAGGCTTCCAAGAGGGCCCCCAGAGGGCCCAAGAGGGCCCCGAGACGGCCCAAGAGGCGCCCAAGACGGCCCAAGACGGCCCCAAGATGGCCCCAAGAGGGGCCCAAGAGGGGGACCACGAACCGAAAACTCAATCCTTCCGCCCCAAGAGGGCCCCAGGAGGCTCCGAGAGGCCCCCAAGAGGCCCCCAAGAGGCCCCAAGATGCCGCCAAGAGGCCCCCAAGAGGCCCCAGGAGGCCCCCAGGAAGGCCAAGAAGTTCAAAATTGCCTCCCAGGCGCCCCCGAACGGCTTCTCAAAAGACCCTAAGAGGCCTCCCCAAAAAGCATCTTGACGACGACCCTGTTTGGCCCCAAGAGCAACACAAGATGCCTTCGAGAGGCTTCCTCCTCCGCCCCTTCCCCTTCCTCCTCCTCCTCCGCCTCCTCCTCCTACTATCTTCATCCTCCTCCTCTCCTTCTCATCCTCTCCTCCTCCTTCCCTCCCCTTCCCCATCCTTATCTTCCTCCTCCTCCTCGGCGGC